TTTTTTTCTTCACGTAGCCATTTCCCAGACAAATTATTTGTTAAAGTTGTCTTGAATCGATTGTTTAAGGTTGTCCTCTCTTCTGGGCCAAAGGGGATGGGAAAGGGATGTGAGTCTTCTACTCTCCTGCCTTTTCTCAGCATCCCTGGCCTTTAACAAGTGCCCAAAAGCACTGAAACCGCCCAACCCAAAGGTTCAGCTATCTGTTGCCTGGAATACCTTCTTTTGTAAAGCAGGGATAAAGTGGGTTTGTAAGGTCAGGATGTCTTTATTCAAAACAGCTCTCCTGTTGCCCCACAAAGCTAAAGAATTATGAGGAAGGAGATCTGAACTGTGGTGAAATGTCTGCCTTTCTTGTCACCTACTATTAAACATTCTCCCCCGTTGCACCTGAAGGCTACAGCTTAGCATCTCCCAACTCCACATTCCAGTGTGCCTTGAAGTGAAGCAGCTGAATTTCTTTTGCTATGTGTTTGAAGAAACCTATAAAAACCAGCAGTGCTGGAGGGTTGCAACTAGCAGAGGTATCAAATGGTTTCTCCCTTTTCTCTGTACTTTGTCCACAAGACTGTAACAAACTAGTATGATCTCTGAATGTATGTTGTCAGGGCCATGGGCCTGGTTTGACAGAACTTCACAGATGCGTGCTGTGATGCCTAGACTTACTCAGAGAAGCTTCAGAATTGATCTCTGCAAGGAATTTCCTCAGTGGAGGAACTGTAGGACAGGGATAGAGCATCCACCCTATCCCTGTTTGACAAGAGTTCATACTGCTGAGTCTGACGCAGGAGTTGTGAGGCAGCAGAGAGAGGTTGGACTTGGTCTTGGTTCCCTGAGATGAGGCAAATGATTTTGCTTGGCATGGTGTTAAGCAACTCACCAAGTTTAATTCCAAACTGTTAAACCCCTTGCACGTAGCTCCTAGCAGCGTGTTGCTCACACCTCTGGAGCAGGACACTTCGCAAAATCCTGGTCAAAGGAGAAGTTTCCAGCTGCGTTGTGTTCAAGTGCTTCTTGTAGGGATGTGCTTGTACCTGCATGAATCTCCATGGGTCTGCCTGGCTGTAAATGCTTTTAAGTTCTTCTTACTGAGCACATGGAATCACCCTACTCAACATCTGGTCAAAAAAAATAGGAAGCACCTATTCTCTGAGCTTCTTTTTCAGGAAATGGAAGGTGTCAGTATTAAAATAATCCCTCTAAATTCCAAGAAGTAATTAAGCGGTGGCATACGTGTCTGCACTCTTACCTCAGATTTTATTTAATGAATGGTTTCATTATAGTACAGCAAGTTAGATGGAGCTTCACTGAAGCCTCTGAGCTTGAGCAGCCACTTTTATTCTGAATAAATTAAAGCAGCAGATAAAGATAGGCTTTTTATCAAATTAGGAAGTAAAACTAGTAGGGTCTGCTTCAAAACACAGACACAGTGCAAGAAGAAATTTAAGATAATCAACAAGTAGAACAAAACCAGGCATTAAAACACAGCTGGAAACTTTGTAAAAAGAATAAAGGAAGCCTTTCACTTCAAACCTGTATGCTGAGGAATGATTTACAGAATGAGATCACCTTTTTATTGGAGTAGCACCACAAATCTAGAGAAGAGCAAGGACCAGAAAATAGGAAAAAACAAGAAATATTTAGCCAGTTTGGAAACTGTCACCAGCAGCAAGGGTCGGGTTAAGTAGAAGCATCACAAAGCATGTGAAAACAGACATTTGGATTTGAAATCCAGTTCTCCTGGAGAACTGGGTAGAACCAAACATTGACAAGGTTTTTAGCTTCCCCCCCTAAATAAGGGCTCCGTGATCACGCTGTCCATCCATCAGTCTGTCAGCCTACCTCCGTAATTTGAACCTGCTGGCCAACTTCAAGGAGATTTGACGGAAGGGTCAAGTCAAAATATGTGTAGTTCTGAGTCAGCCACATGTTCTGCCTCCTTCTTAGCTGAGAGACAGAAGAGGTGGACAGAGAAAGGGAAAACAGGGGCGAGGGGGGTAGAAGATGCGTAGGACCTTATACAGGACATAAAGACAAAGGTACAGGGTCAAATCAAAGCTGCTGTGGTCGTGGCCAACGCTGTGTGTCAAAGAAAGGCTGAAGCCAAAAGGCAAGTGCGTTGCAACACTTCACACAAAACCTTCCTTTCCCCCCAAATCAGATTGCCCTAGCTCCAATGTAACTAATGCCAGCTGAGAGGCAAAAAATGTACTCTGTGAAATTTTCATTCACATCAGCATCACTGTCAGAAATAACAAGAACTTAAAAAAAAAAAAAAATGGCAACAGAGCAACTTGCAACTGGGATATGAACCTCACATTAAAATCTGTGAAAGGAAGTCAAAGATTTTCTAAAGGTGTGGGGGCTTCACATTAGTTTCTTGTAGTTTTATCCAACAGAAGAGGAAGCACCTAAGAACGTGGAAGACAAAAACCAATCTCCATAAGCCACATAGTTTTGTGTGCCAAAAATGTGTGTTGAAAAAGGAGACTTGCATTTGTTCTTGACATTTTTTGCATTGTTGAAAAAATATAAGGCTGGTCTTTGAAGGAAAAAAAAAAAGTCAATAATACAAAACTTAATGGAAGCACATTGTCATTTATTGGAAAAAAAAAAAAAAAACAAAAAACAAAACAAAAAAAAACATAAAAGGGGTTTCTGTGATCATAAGTCAGTCTAGAAAGGAGACACTTGGATGTCTGGGGAAGATCCTACATAGGAAGATTAGGACACAGTGAAGACAGAATAAAGTCTGGGGGTAAAAAGATTAGTTTCTAGGGTTTTTGTTTGGTTCTTGACAGTTCTGTGCTCAAATTTCTGTTAATGTTTAATACACGATATAATTTGTGTGCAACATGGTGGCCACAGGTTACAATGTATTCATTACAAGTGAGACCAAATTATGTTTGTCTTACATGGTAATGATGGTAAGAAGTGTAAATAATCTATTACTAGTTTTATTTACTTTGAAATGTGGATTTGCTAGTGAATGAAACCTGTGTCAGAAGATGTACTGTAGAAACTTGATTTTTAAAAAACCCTTTAAAGATGTAGTTTGGCTGAAGCAGGTGATTTCCTTACAGCTGGTTTGAAGAGAATGAATGATACTGTCCACTGTGGCAGGAGCCACTCTCACAGCTACACACTGTGCTTGCTTTTAGGAAAAGAAAAATGGGGAGGAGTTGAAATCTGCTTAATCTGGAGGGCTCAGGAGAATCTTTTATGTAAAATATATCGTATCACTTCTCACATTGGACCTTGGGCTAGAGATCAGGGGCCCCTCTGTGGTGAACACTGCTGATAAAAATTTTACAGATTCAACTTGAAAAAGCTGACCTTTGCAAATGAGAATTTGAGGCGACAGCTAAGATAAATGTACTTTAGAATATAAGTAAGTCTGTAAGGGCATCTGGTCTTGTTTCAGACCTACAAAGAAGAGCAGCAGGGGCTGTAGGAGTGAAGGCACTTCAGGAATTGTAGACAACGTGATCTGGGATATAGAAGTGGCAGGCATGTACGCAGCCGGTTTTCCCAAACTGACAATAATTATCACCTGAGAAGGTATGAAGGAAACGGGGTTTCGATGTGGCTGCCCTCATTCCTGGGAAGGTCGCTGTAGAGTGCGACGCTGGCAGAGCTGACATCCAATCTCCCTCAGAACAAAATGGGCAGAAGTTAATAGGAACTTAAGAGTCCTGTAACAGTACACAGAACTCCCATTAAAGGAAGATGATCGACAATATCCAACTGGTGTGAAGATTTCCTGACAGGACTGTTGTGAAAAATACTTATTTGTAGTAAGTAAAGTTTGTTTTGTTCGGGGCAGCGACTGCAAGTCGTGCATCTAATGGGGAGCAAGATAACAAAACCCATAGAGATTCTCAATGCCAAACGCATCAGACGCTGGCCTCGTTCATCATGTTTTGCTCGGTGGAAACGGCCGTTTGCGAAAGTGAGGGAGAGAAAAGCGGCCGGCAGCCCGGCGGAGGGTCGGTAAGCGGGCTGGGGCTGGCGGGTCCGCTGCTCCACGGGCACGTACGTGCACCTCGCTCGCCTCCCGCCCTCACTCCCCACAGACCCCTGGGCCCGGCTCGCCCGAGCAGCGCCCTCACCGGCACCTTATCCCCGGGGAGGCGGCGGCCGCCACCTCCCGCTCCCTCCGAGAGGCGGAAGACGTGCGCCTTCACCGGCGCCCCGGCTGGGTCCGCCCGGCCTGAGGGGGGCCGGGGGGGCGCCCTTCCCCCCGGGCCGAGCCCGCGCCCCGCGCCCGCTGGCGCCGCATTCGCCTTCCGAGCTGCCAATCGGCGCGGACGCTCTTTCCGGCCGCCGGGCCGGCCTCGTCCAATCAGAGGGGGGGCGGCGGGCGGGACGCCTCATCCTCACCGAGGCAACGGGCGGGCGGACGGTTCCGGGTGCGCGCGAGGCTGGCGGCGGCGGAGGGTGAGTGCTTCGTGCCCGGTGCCGCCCCGCCCCGCCCCGCCGGAGCCCGCCGCTCCCCGCCCTCTCCTCTCCCCCCTCCCCCCTCCCTAACTTCGTTCATTCTTCCCCCGCCTCGCCCCGGGTCTCTCCGCGGGCGGCGGTGGGGCGTAACGGCCGCGCCGCGCGGGCTCGAGCGGCCCGCGCGCCGCCGGTGCGTGTGTGTGTGTGTGTGGGGGCTCCCCTGGGTGACGTCACACCACCCACTGCGGCCCTGCCTCCCGCGGGAGGCGGGGGGGGGGGGGGGGGGGGGGGAGTGGCGCCCCCGGGCGCTGACACGGCGACGCCGCGGCCCGGCGGCGGCCGTTGGCCCTCGCCCCCCCGAGGCGGTAACGGGGCTGAGGGACCGCCGGGCCGCGCCTCCCGCTGGGGCGGGGTTTGTGCCGCCGAGCCCGGTCCTCCCGGCGGGCTTCGGTGGGGCGGCCGGTCTCGCCCAGCATTTTTGTTTTTACCCCCCCCCCCCCCCCCCCCCCCAAATAAAAGTTTCTTTTCTACTTTCGTTTCGTGGCTGCTGGCTGCTCGTTTCCTTGTCGGGTTCTCGGTGGTCGCTGCTCGCTCTCGGTTGTCGAGGCGATCCCTTGCGGGGGCTCGGCTGCTCCCTTGCGGGGTTCAGCGCCTCCCTCTCGCCCTGTTGCTCTTCGTCTTCCCTCCCCACCCACCCGCCCAGGCCTCACTGTAAAACCCAAAAGCTCTTCAAACCAAACTTCCGTATTGGGACGGAGGCACGGGTGTGTACGTCCTTGCCCCATTTGTAAGTGTTAGCTCTTTTATAGAGCTGTTTCCCGCGCAGGGAGCGTTAGGCAGGGGCTTAGAATCTGAGGGGGGATGGCGAGGGTCACCTCTGGGCCGATAGAACAGCTGTAGTGCCGGTGGCAAGCGCGCTGAAAGACTGAGACATTCTACGTTGGGTGTGACACGTTTATTTACATTTTTCTGAGTGCCTGTGGAGCATTCGGTGTTACTGTTTCAGCTCAATAAGTGCTTTGGGCTACTATGTTAAAATCATCATGGTTAATGTTCTGCAGGAGCCAAACTCGAGCGTGTTTCTCCACCATTTCTGTAGCTGTACAGATGTAGAAAAGTAAGCTGTGTAACAAGGAGGGATGAAATCAGACGTAATGAATGGATGGCAGCCAGGAAGGAGAACAGAAAAATCCTAGAAGAAGCTTGAATGGGAAAGGTTGGGTCCAACAGGTGGTTACAAAGTGGAAGCAGCAGGTTTGTGAGTGAAACTTGAAAGGCTTTGAAGAGGGGTTTGACAAGATTCAGTCGATGTGGAGGAAGTGTTCTGAACTGAAGAAAATTACTGAGATAGGCTGACTATACATTGTTTGGCAAAAATAAATGCATCTTCAGACCCAAGTGTATGTAAAGACCTAATTAGGTTTTTCAGTCTGGAGTTATGCTATTAGTTAGTCTTTAAGTGGCATCTGTATCTTCATTTTCAAAACTGATTTACCTACCATCATTATCACTTTCCCTACCACCACGCTATTTCTTCCATTTCTGCAAGAATATACATTCCTTACTTGCTCCTCTGTCATTTTACTTCTTTGTCATGCCTCTGTTGTTGTAATGACATTCTGTGTGGTGTAACAAGATGCAGCAAAGCAGAGTTTGTAGGAAACAGACTGTGTTTCAGCTTGCTGCCTGTGCCAGTGGCTGCTGGAGCTTTCCTCATAAGTATGAGCAAAAAGGAAGTAAATGCAGTGATTAGGACTTTACTTTTGGCTCTGAAGTTTATACAGGAGACCGTTACAATCGGATGTAGTCCATAAATGCTTTTTCTCTCTGTAGAGTCTGTGTATTGTACTGGTCTTTCATTTTGTATAGGTATATATATTCATAATTAAAACAGTAAGTTCATATTTCATTTTAAAATATAAACTTAAAAATATATGAAGATGCCTATAAATGTTTTGCATCTAAAAAAGGATGAGTGAAAAATAAATTCCTAGAAAGCTGTGCTAATTTTCATTATTGAAAGGGTGGTTGTGGTAAACCAGCAAGTTTGTCTGTTTTGTGCCAGTGCTGAATCTTGCTAAATATAATTTGCATTGTTTTTATTGTCTAAATGGTGTGGTATTTAATTGCTGGAGTAAGCCATATCGTATTTGCAAAATCTGTGGTTTAAATCCCGTGTATTAAACATTTACTTTTTAAAGTTTCTATTAACTTTATAGTATTCTTAGACTACAAGCAGTTCCTTTCAAGGTGAAAGGATTGATAGACATCATAATGGAATATCTTAATATGTTCTGGAGGTTTTTTCCATTCATGCATTAACATTATGCTTTTTTACTTCCTGAATTAATTCAACATGTAGAATGTCTCTGGTTTTAATTTTACCTGTTGAACTAGAGAAACAGTATTTTGTCAGGATTAACATGTGTTAGGTTGTGGATAAGAGGAACAGTAAATACAGTGTATTTGTTGTCTGACTCCTGACGAATACATAGTTCTGTACTTTAATTTGGGAACACTCTTGTTTTGTATACTGGAAAATACTGACAGTTTTTCCGTTCCCTTTCTATAAATGTTAAATTCTATAAATATCTTAGGTTAAGATCAAAACCAAACAGGGTTACTAACTTATTTGAGATCAACTTAAGCATGTTGTGGTTAACTAATAATCACGGTTGATATGCTTACACTTATCTAGGCAAACTTTTTTTCAGCAGCTTAAGCTTATTCAGCATTTTTTAATAAATACTCTGCCATAAAAAAAAAAGCTAATTTCTCTTTTTCTTTCCCCTCTGTAAATTAGTGGAGAATAATAAGGGTAAGGGATAAAAAAGTATGGAAGAGTAGGAGTTCATTACAGGATCTTAAATAGCTATTTCCTACAAAAGAAAGGAAGGGGTATGGCATTATGTGTTACTCATATTCTACAACTCTCTGGAGCACATGTTTGTAACTTCCTACATGACAATTGAATTTATGTTAATGCATGGATTCTACATCCTCTACATAAAATGTAGACACAGAATCATGCAGGCAGATGCCAGGATGTGATTTGATGATAGGAGATTCTGCCATGCAACCATATATACTGTCTTTCAGCTTTTGCCAGCATTGCTACAGTGCTGCTTAGGACTTCCCACACAAGCATGGACTGACACTTTTAAGAAGTGAAGGTTGTGGAGCATCATCACATTGGAAACTAGTTAGGCATGATGGGTGGAGAAGTTGTGCTGCTGAATAAAAGGAGAGCATGGAAAGCAGCTTTCAGTCATGGACAAGCCTTGTATCAACAACTCCCTACAATGTCAGGAAGGATTGTTAGGTTCAAGTTAAGCCATAATGAAAATGCTGCTTTCAACTTGCAACATGGACTTTGATTATTTTGCGTCTCATTAATACTGTTAGCTAGGGAAGGGGCAGAGCTTAGAAGCCCTTCGTTCAAGAGGCATACTCTCCTTGTTTCAAGCCTCTCTTCCCAAAGTTCTTTCTGAAGTTATTTGTATTAAATTAATCTTTTGAAATCAGTATCTAACATATTAATGTGATTTGGTTTTAGGATGATTCCTCTCCTGAGTTTATTTTTGAATGGAAGGATGCTCTTTTCCAGTAGAAGATGGTGATCCTAATGTATGATCATGGAGAAGGGGATAAGTTCAGTAGAAGTGTTACCTTCCAAATCATCTCAGGTTACAGCTGTAAAAGTGGTGGTCAAAGAGCCCGAAACAAAGCAAACCCAAAGAGGGAAACGAGTGGGATTTGTGCTTGTCCATGCAGGTAAGATGCAGAATTGTAACAGATGTAACGGAAATAGTGCATACCCGAACTAAATATCAACTAAAATTTCATATTGTCTTTGGACTACTGGTATGTTAATGAAGTGACAACTTTGGGTGTAAATCTGGGAGTGGAGAGTCTCATTAGAAGCTTCATTGGCTGGAGGATTCTGGAAATTGTTAATAAAAGTGTAGATTTTTGGGTGTTCTGAATGTATTGTTTTGGGGTGGTTTTTTTTGTTTGTTTTGGTATTTTGTTTTGTTTTGTTTTGTTGTTGTTTTGTTTTTTTTCTCCTTGACAAAGAAAACTCCAAACAAAATCCATAAATGAAATGGTTATAAAATGTCAAATTCTGCAGTTATGTGCTAAGCTTGGGAAATCTACAAAGTGTGAGAGACCTTTCAGTCTATTTCTTTGCCCTACAGAAAGATGAAACATAGCTGTTTCATTACTGATGGTTTCTTGTCTAGCTTGTCTGTAAGGACAGTATTGTTAAGACTTTCTGAAACCTCCTTAGGCCATTTGTTGCAGAACTTTACTTTTTTTTTACTCTTTTGAAAGTTTTCCTCCAAGTACATTTTTTTGATATTGTTTGTATTTAAGTGAATTACTTTTTATTTCCATATGTAATGAAGAGGTCATCTACTCAGATGTGATACAAAAATGATGTGTTATGTGTGTCTTATTCATAAATGATTTTCTAATAGGTTCTTTCTTAAATACTGTTAATCTTAAAAATATTGGTGATGCTTATATCTGGCTGTATATTTTGGTTTAGCATATGTGTGATGACTTGAGGTGAAATTGAGCAAACTAGCTTGGTGACACCTAAAATATTTGAAAAAGCAACATGCTACTTGGTTTATAAAATCCTTAAGGTAAAAGAACCCAAACAAACCCACCCTCACAGAACTCATTCTAGGCTGATATTTGATGACCTTGGTATTTTAAGAGCAAATAGAGTTGTTCAACATGTTGTCCTTTACTGGGTTACTTCATTCTGTTTAAAATTATTTTTCTTTCACTGGTAGTGTTGAAATTTATTTTAGCAGAGTTTCTCAAAGCTAACAGTTCCAAAGGTGAGGAAAGGGAAGCTGAGATAAATAAAAGCATGTTTTTCGAGTTCAAAGAACAAGAAAACAGAAGAAGTTGGAATTTAAATATGTGTGCTAGTCTTGTCTTTTTTTCTTGTCTTTTTTTCTGATGCCGTGCTTAGTCGAATAGCAGGCACTGATAAATCTTCCAGATATGGAAGTAGGGGGCAGTGGTTACAAAACAGGGCAAAATGGTTAGATGCAACAGGATAGACATAAGGACTGAAAATGAGAAAAAGGTGAAAAAATTTATATGATCTTTATTTCCAGGAACTCTCCTGGTTCTAAAGCAGGAGTAATGTGCCCTAAAAATGCAGCATAAACACGAGGAGATGAACAGAATGGTGATTGCGAACTTGCAAATCAGCAGTAAAAGGAAAATTGGAGTTTGACTTAAATCAAAGGGTTTTGCCCAATGATGGACAATAAATAAAAATGCTATGCTGGAAATTCTTCAAAAATGAGCAAAACTGTAATCTCTTAGAGAATGCTTACAGGAACAGATTGTATGACACTGAGATTCGTACCTGCATGCTTCTGCATATTTGTTTTGTAACCTATATTTTACTGAGTGTATTTGAATTAATGTTGGAATGCATGAAGTTGTCAATCGTTGATTCAAATGGGAAATGCCAGTGTAATCCAGGATAAGGACGGCTGTATCTGTCTGTATCATTCTTTGTGTGAACTATAGGTTGTAGTCTTGACAGGTAGTCTAATCTCTTTTTCTTTTGCCTTAATTGTAGGTGCAGGTTATCATTCCGAATCCAAAGCTAAAGAATACAAGCATGTGTGCAAAAGAGCCTGTCAGAAGGTATGTCTTACCAGTTCCACAGTCTTATAGTTGGTATGCAAGAAATATATTTGGTAGCACTGTCCCTTCAGTATGAATGGGCATACCTGGGTTTAGCTACTTAGGCTGTAGGCATTTCTGGTGGAAAAAGGGAGCAGCAACAGTTAACATGATACAGAGTCAACTGAGTGCATGGCTGTGATGTGCAGCAACATTCTCATCAGCGGTGGCAAATGTCAGACACCAAAGGAACAGTGGGGGAACAGGAGAAGGTCACAGTGGTACCTACATGGAGTATTCCTGCAGCTTCCCGCACTGTTCCCAAAGCTCTGGGATTTCGGGACCTAAATATGGCATCTGGAATTTTCTTTCACCAAAGTCCACTCTTTTTGGAATTTATTTAAACTCTAGCATCCAGATTGCTCCATGAATGCAGGGGTTTCTAAAATTGTTTTCTCCTTGATAGCTCTGAACTTCGTAGTAGAAAGGAAGGTAGAAACGGGAAAAACAAAACAAAAAATCAAAACTCTTTTCGCAGAGCTGGAAAGGCAGAAATGTCAAGACTTTCATTTCCATTGAAATGAATTTTTTTTATGTCCTCCAAGAACCTAGCTTTGGAACTGGCAAGTCCTGTCTAGTAAGTGTTGAATGAGATGCTGGAAGACCTGTCTCTAAAATTTCTAATGCCTTTTGCTTTCTCCAGGGAGAAGGAGCTGGGGAGCTTGGCAGGCTTTTTAGAAGAGTCTCAGAATTGGCCTCTGATAGTTTTCACTTCATCTTACAGTTCTGTTGCTCAATCCTAATAACAATCTAATTTTGTAATGAGAAGCTTCAAAAATCATCCAAACTTAACACTAGCTTTATTAAAATTGTGCATTAGCCCTGTTGATACTCATTTTTCAGCTAATTATATGTGAAAAAAGGTTGTTTGCTGTTGAACTTAAGTCTAATTTGAGATTCCATTTGGTTCCTTAAGCTAGGTAGCCAACATAAATAACTTGTATGAAGAACAAACAGTCCCAGGTTTGTCTTACAAGTGAAGATGTAGCCCTAGTTGGTTTCTGGAGTTCGCTGAGAGAACCTGACTGTATGGTGTTGTCTGTTATGGATCTAAGAAATAACATTAGGCTCTAGAAGTTCATTTTTGTGTGTGTATATAATTTGAAGATGACATTATCCTAATTGATTTGGTTTTGTGTGTTGGCTTTTAGATGAGCTCACTTGTAGACTCTGTTCAATTTCATGACAATTGCCATATATGGTACTAGGGATTTTTGTTGAATCTTGGAAGGAAATTAGAAACTTCTTGACTGAAACTTTGAAGTGTTTGAGGACAGCAGGTATAACAATTTATTTCGCTATTAATTTGACCATGATGGAACCTGCTACTAAATGCAGTGTCACAATGTCGGAGTAGTAAAATCATGCCTTCAGATCTGCCCTCACATGCTGCATACTATTTCCAGTGCCTCTTGTTTTTGTGCTTTCTTACACTTCAGACTAATTTGGTGAAGATTTTGTTTCGTACAGGATTAGGAAAACGTAGGGCTCAGTCACAGAATATTAGAATTTTCTAATCAGCAATTAAAAATTCTGTTTTCCAGGCAATTGAAAAGCTACAGGCTGGTGCTCTTGCAACAGATGCAGTGACTGCAGCACTTATAGAATTAGAGGTATGAATTTCTGACTAGTAGTAAATATGTCTCTTGGGTCCATTGCCAGATTTTTCTGTAGGAAGGTATTAATTCAAATGGGAAATCTACTGAGATTTCCATTTTTGTACTATGCTAATTTTATATTTTGCTTTTTCACTGTATTTTGGAGTAAATATCTTTAAAGACTTTAAAAATGCAAACTGAATAAAAATGTTCTAGTTGGTGCAATTTGGTTGTCATCTAGTGTATGCCTTATCAGATAGCCTTTAACCTTCAAGAATAAATACAGGCATTAAAGATTTACTGAACACTTTGTAGGGAGCTTTATTTCTGAGTTACCAAGCTATAGACAAACTGTACTGGCTCAGCTTCTCATGGAAAAAAATCATGCTACTGATCACATGTTAACTAGAAATTCTAGGATAAGTCCTCATTCCTTTTGTTTGGATTAATTTCTTGCGCTGAATTATGTTTCATTTATTGAAATTATGATCCAAAGAATTTAGTTGTAGTTAGTCTTTAGTAGTTCTATTAACACTCTCATGTAGTAATTATATCGAGGTAATTGTCACTGAGTATGCTTTCTTGGGATGTGTTATTCATACCTTTTTCAGTTCTTTGGGATAATTCTACAGAAGCGATTACCTAAATTGAATGCTGCTTGTCTTTCCATCTAATTAAAGGACTCTGTGAAAATGAAGTAGGAATTTTAAGTTCTCATTTGTCCAACAACATACTCTGCTATGCACTTAAATTAATGCAGTTTGAAAGGGCTTTTTTTCTTATGTTTTTTACTTTGTACCTCTATGATTCCTGATAGGATAAGTGACTAGAAGCAGGCTGTTCAGAGAAATGTGTCTTCAGTGTAAGATAATGCTTTTTTCTGATTTTTATGATGAACTGTGTAGAAGAATAGGACAAGTAATGCTTTTATTTCAAAGTGGTACTTGTTAATTAAGATAGTCCTGGTAATGATAAAGGGATGAGCAGCTCTGTGAGGTTTTTGAAAAAGTGTCTTTCTGGAGTTGTGAGATTGTTACAGCATCTGACTTTAGTGAAGAGTTCCTATGAAATAATGTAGAAGAGAGTAAAGCTAGAAGAATTTCTGGGATATAAATGAGGCAGTTTGGTGGTTGTCCCAGGTTGACTAATCCCTCATGGCAGTAATGATTGAAACAGGTACTCCTCCTGTAAGGAGTAATTGCTGCTTCCTCTCCAACTTTATTAGTAAAGAAGGAAGGCAAGGTAAGCGTTGTGATGTAAAAATAATTTCCTGGGTTTGGAATTTATGATAGTATTCTGAGAAGATTAGCGATGGATTTGCTTACGCATATGTTGGGAAAGTGTTAATTAACATACTTGATAGGGTTAGCGTAAGGCAGGCAGTACGTATTTTAATATGTGTTAGACATGCTGACTGGGAGCCAAGACTTCAGTCATACTTGGCAAGCTTTTTGGCTTTAAACAGGACTTTTGGTCTCCACTGAACTGTTCAAATATGCTTTCATGTGTTATCTTACACATTAGAATATAGCTATGTGAAAACAAAAGGTATCTCTCTAATAGAATTATTTATCATGAACTTCCGTAAACCACCTGAGGCTGTGGTTACTCCACAAGATTGTTTTGTGTGTCAGTTCCCTCCTCAGTGGAAAAAAAAAATAAAAAAATCTACTTTGTGTTGTGATTTTTTTTTTTTTTTATTGTGTTCCTGAGCTACACAGAAGACGACATATTTTAAGAAGCCTAAGTTAACTATTATATATCTTTTTGCAGCTGTGCCCAGGGTAGATATTTTATCTGTTTTTGTTATTGCCAAGAGACTTTTCTTCTTTTCCTTTAGTAGATTTAAAAACTCTGAAGTGACATCTTGTAAGAAGCTATGGCTTTAAGACAAAATTAAACCATGCAGTTACTCCAACCAGCAACTTTTTTCTCCCCATTTGTCTTGCTACTGTTGTGGTGATGCTTGCCATCATTCCACTTTCTGGTTTTATAATTGTCTCAGGTAATATTTTTACATGTACTGTTGCACAAACCCTTTTTTTTTCCTTTTTCCTGCTTTAAAGTTTAAATATTATTTTGTTCAGGATGTATTGTTGTCATTAATGTAACTATTTGCTTTCATTTATTCATTAAGTGATTTCTATAGCCTCTTAAGTGTAGATTGTTCTCTCCATTACTGGGATAAAGGATATTGGGTTTGGGATTTGGGCTTCTTTTAAATTAAGGTACGTAGCTATGCAGTTACATTGAGGAAGAATCAAAGGTATACTCAAAACAGAAAATGGTGTGGTTTGCAATGGCAGGTTTTTGAACCTGGTATGAGAAATTCCAAAGTGTTAGACTGCCAGCTTTCAAAATGTTGAAAGGTTTGTATATACTCATATCTCATTCTGAACACCACCTCCAGACATCTCTGTCATTGCTGGAGCTGCATCTTCTGTTTTAATTCTGATGTTTTTCCTATTGCTCTATGGAAAACAGAAACTGCATGTTGCAAGTCAACAGAGCAAACATAATAGTTTTTCTCATCAATTACAAAATACAATGGGTAAAAATGTAGGTTTGTATGTTGACTGTCTCTCTAATGAGCTATCACTACCCTTTTGTTTATGCTGGAAAAAAATAGTGACTTTTTGTTAAGTACTTTAGCATTTTGAGTTGGCAAATACACAGCGAAAATCTGTATGAAAACAGTGTTTGTTAACGTGTCACTGTAATACAAATTAAGATACAGAACAACAACAGTTTGTATAACATGTAATAGCAGATTTCATTGTGGAGTACTGTTTGTAACTTCTGGGTAGTTTGCTTGCTGTAGAACACATTGCTGTGAGGTTATCTGAAATTTAAAATCACTTTCATAGTTGTCTAGGACTCAATGCTGTATTCAAAAAATCTGTGGTCTTTGCAAGGCACAAATATCTTTTTGTGGAAGTGTCACAAAAGATTATTTTTTTTCCTCAGTTCCGCTCAATTACACAACTCCTATTACACAGAATTTCAGCTAATCCAAGAGGCATCACTTCAAAGACTTGTTGAGGCGCAAGACTTGCTCTTGATCTTTTATGAGCAAGCTGACAGTTTGCTTGTGGTATGCTGTCTGCTTTTTGTTTTGTTTTTGCAGGCTCTAAATGGAGAAAGAACAGCCTTTCTTTGCTAGACCATATGAATCTCAAGTGAAATTGTGTTCAGTGATTAAGATCACAATGCTAATAGTTAACTAGAGAGAAGGTAGATTTCTCTTCCAAAGTAACAAGAGCAGCCGACCCAAAATACTGTTAAAATAACTGTGCTGGTCTTTGTAAGCATCAGCTGTATTTGATAAGTTGATTAAAGGCAGTTACGCTTTCCAGTTTGTGAACTCTGTCATTGCAAAGAAACAAATGGACATGTTACCTCCTTCAGCTTTTGGGAATAAAATGGGTCTGGGCAAGGTGCTTCGTAAGACTCATCATTTACACTGGATGCTTCTGCAAAGACATTATTGCAGTACCGTTTCTTTTTGCACTCTTGCTGTCAGCCACCATATGAAGTCTGAGTTCCTCTTGAAACACAAAGGGATTTGGGCAGCTTTTTTCTGGGATGGAGGAGGTCCCCCTCCACACCCCACACCCCCCCTTAAAACTCGCAGTTTTCAACAAAACCACATGCTGATTGCATTTATGGCTGGCTGTGAGAACAATGTGCAATTTCAAGCTTTTCTTTGACTATAGAGCACTTCAGAAAGTCTGCAGGTGCTGGAGACAAGAACATCAGTTTGTTGTAAAGAATGATGAATATTTCAAACTTTCTAAGTTAAGTTTATTAATACTGTGTGCAGATCACTTGTTTCTTTAATCTGACTTCAGTAGAATGTTCTTTATGAACATCATTTAAATTGGAAATTAATATGATTAGTGGGGAAGTGGATGTCACATTTTGGGTTTTGATCTCCTTTACTGAAATTGCTCAATTTACTTTGCTTTTTTTTTTTTTTGTTGTTGTGTTGTGGAGCAATGCAAAGGATAATTTGAACCTGTTGGTGTACTCAAGCAGTGGGTTTGCATGGCTGCCAGCAAAATTTTGCAGTGAAAGAACTTGTTTCTTGTTGAACTGTTTTTATTTTGTTTTTGTTTATTTATTAATTTCATAGTAATTAAGGTTTTTGAATATACAATCTTAGTCCCAAGGACTTCTCTTTAAAGATGAAAGCACGATGCCAGTGGCCTTGTTGTATTAAGGCAGTCACCATAGATGAACTCTTAATGGGTAATGAACTGGAAGTTGTTAATTCTAGTTAAAAGCAATACTATGATGTTTTGCAGCAGAATGGCTAACAGTAATCTGTGACAAAAGTGTTCTTTGAAAACATTTTAGCTGGTGTAATTGAAAGGGATGTGACTCATCCTTGTAGACTATTACTTCTTGTCACTAAAATCCCACAGAAAAATAAATTTTAAAATTACAGCGTGTAAAAAGAAATGCCCATAGACTTTGAATCCCTTTAAAAAGTTGCAAATAAACCATGGCCAGAACTGTATCAAAGATGGATGGAATGTTCCTTAATGCATGTTGGAAATAGAGCATTTTAACTATTTGCCTAGATGTAATTTAGGGCTATGATTGTTATAGTGTTGAGTAACTTCTTCAAGCATTCCTACTTAGACCACAGCTAGAAACTTCAGCATGCCTGTGTTTGCTGCCAGCCCGAGCATTTATAAATACATCTTGAAGTAGAAAGGATTCTAAAAATATAAATGATACCGTTGATAGCTTGAGAGTTTTTACAAAATGGGTAACTTGGGAAAATGAAACTCCTCTTTCACGTCTTAAAGTTTTGTATTATCTCCTTTGTTACAGGTTTACATTGTAAGTTAGATATACTTAAGTGGTGCAATAATTACCAGGTAGTCTAGTATTTTTCATGTAATTGAATGCTTATGTTTTGTTAAAATGCTTTGAGGAGCTGCTTGTCTTTTCCCCCTTCTTTTTTACTTTTCTACGCTGGTAGAGCTTGCTGTTAACATGCAAAACTCATGCTTGGTTTACTTTCTTGTCCTTTTTCAGTCTCCTTAAAGGCCGATCTCTGCTCGTTTTTTTAAATAAAAGTATATTCCTGAAGATACCTTCTGTATTATAAACCTTTTCCTCCTTTCCCTTCCTTTTCCTTGGATATACGTGCTTTGATCGGGTTCTTTCCTGTCCTATAGTAGTCATATAGTTCTTGCAGTACTGCATTTTTCTGTCTGAGGATATGAAGAGGCTGCTTCAGTTATCTCAGTTTATTTTCTTCCCCCTTTGAAAGCATGCACACTTCTAGCTTAATAATGTTTCTGCATTCCTTGAAGGTCTTGAATTTTAATTTCAAAATACACTTTACTTTTCATAAGTTGTACTCCTCCATTCGTATATCAGAGTCTTGAAATCTTTTGGTCAGACTTTTCAGAGACTCATGTTCTCAAAAAGAGATGTGTTTGCGTGGTGTATTTCATGTTCTTGCCTATTTGCAGAAGTAGGTGTGAATTTCTGTTTCCATTTTTTATAAAGGCTTTTCCCTGCCTCATTTCAAAGGCTTTATATCTCATCTCGGAGACACTCAGCTATGTATCAAAAATTCCATGTGTTCACACCCAGTTCCTGTACTGTCTAAAGCTGTTATCAGATCACCTTTCAGATCTGAGAAGTCAGAGTAGACCATCTTCCTCTTGGCAATTCTGAGACCATCTTCTTAATTGAGTGCAGTCTGATTGTAAAGCTCCACAGTAATTTTGAACAGATGCTTGGAATTCGGTCTTTATTTCTTTTTACTGGAGAAGTTACTCGTGACAGATTGCACTGGTAACATTCCTTCTGAGTCCTAAAATTAAAGAGTTAGGTCACCAAAGAGGCATCTACAATTTTGTTGGTGTAGAGTTCTTATCCAGTATTCTACCATATTCTGATAAATATTCTGTAGGGAGAAACAGGTGACATTCCCTTTGCCTTGAGATCCTCTGAATAAGTTGTCTCTTGGTGCATCGTTGATCTTGTGCTAGGGAAGATGCTGTGCTAAAACATCGAGCACATCCAGAATTTTAGAAATAAAGTGAACCAGTGCCACTCTGTATCCTGTATTTTTTTTCCTACCCTCTTTTGATTATTATGTTTATCAGATGGTAGAGAGCTTTGTGTGTTGACTGCAGAAGGATTCTGGACAGTGTTGCTAGGACTTCTGTTCTGATGGGTCCTTCTTACTCCCTTTATTTGGCCATGACATCTGCTCTTAAGATAACAGCTGTCTTTGCTTCGTGGCAGTAACAAATGTGTAGAGTGAGAAATTCTTCCTCTTTGCTAATGCTTTTGAGTATAATGCACTGATCAAATGTTTGTTTTGAAGGGAACATTAGAAGTTTGTCTCCAGGCTTGCAGGTCTATGCACTCTGATTACCCATGGGCAAGAAACTTAGACAGCATTAGGAGTAAGCATTGTTCATCCTAACGCATTCCAGTTTTTACTTTGTCCTCCAAGTACCTTTCACCGTTCACATTCAGATTCTTTCCATCACTTCTCTGCTCCTTTTGTTCTAAACTTCATTGACTTAATTTTCTTCATACTTGTAGGGCCTGGGGATCAATGAAGTTGGTTAAGCCAGCAGCTGCTCTGCAGTCTTCCACCTTTTCAAGGCCATCATCTTAGTAGCCTTTTTAAAATCATATTCTCCCTCCTCTCCCCCTTGTAGAGAAAGTTATTCCCTGTGCACTATACTGCAAATGTTTCATTATCCTGAAATCTTTTTAAATTTACTTATTTACTGAGGCATATTTGTCAAAATGAATGCCACATTGAATATACGCAATGAATTTGAAGATTTGTTGTGGTGTGGAATAAAATAGGATGGGATAGAATCTTGTGCTACTTCTTGGGTGCAGAAGAAAAAAGCAGAAAATGAAGATGAGTAGTGTAAAAAGAACACTGAGAGATTACAGTCTGTTTCACGATTACATATTAATCATGCATTATGTATTCATGATTCTTCAGGAAGATAAGTGTTTTGGTGACTCAAACACTAAGGATGCTTCAGATTATCTCTGCAAATTAGAATCAACCTCTTGTAAAACAAGTTTTGAATTTACTCATTACTTGCTCATTTGAAACTTAACAAAAGCTAACTGACGAACATCAAATTTGTATTTCATTTGTGTGCTTTCTCTTTCTTTTGTTTCCTTGTATTCATTACAAATTAGTATGTACAGAAAAGAACCAGTTCACTTAACATTTAAGACAGAACTTTGAGCTATTTTCAGTAGATTTGTTTCCTGATTCAGATTTTATTACATGTACTTTAAATGTATGACCATGTAATTTCATTGACGTGTTCATATGTGGTCTAGACAACCATTTTTCACATCAAGGTGTGATACTGTTGTAATAAAAAATGATAATGAAACTCCAAAAGCATGTAGCATCTCTGAAATTTTACTGTGTGGCTGTTCTGGGCTGTTACTTTTCTTTGTCTTGTACTTGTTTTGTGTTTGCATCTAAAAAGAGGGGATTATATGGAGCTGACAGTGAGACTCCTGAACAGCGATACTGTGACATTTTGCATTTTTAAAGTCATGGCGGGGGGGGGGGGTGGGGGTGGGGGTGGGGGCGGCAGCAGCCAGGAAGGGGGCAAAAATGGGTGAGTTTAATTCTAGCATGCAAAGCTTCTTGTTTGAGCATCTTGAGTTTGCCAAAAGTTATAGAAGGTGCTAATAAAAGAGGAGTTAGGTTTATAATTACTTTATTAAATGTTGCTCCATACTTTCAATGAAATACGCCTTGGTTTTTATTCAAGAAACTTTCAGATCATAGTAATGACTGTCCTTATGCTAATGATCGAATAGACATTTTACAAAGTGACTTGTTACTGATGCCAGTTCTTTATTTCTGCATGCAGAGCTTCGGTCATAGGCTTAGAATGTTAAGGAAAGGTACAGTTGTATTTTACTGCTGTGTCTTACTTAAGAGTTTCAAATGTAGACTGTGGTCTGTGCAGTGATTATTAGATGTTACTTAAGTGTTACTTGGTGGGTTAGGGACAAAATGAAGTGTGTATTTTGGGGGAGGGAGAGATTTTTCAGTCATGCTGTAAGGCTTCTGCTTGCATATAGATGATCATCTTTAATTGTTGGGTGATTGATTCTTTTATTAGGGCTTTGTTACACCTGAGATATACTGCACCTTGTAGAGGGTATGAGGTATCCATTGTAGTAATCTGAGATGCCCTGTTCCAACTGTGGTTGGTTTTGTTGTGGAAGATTAAACTACTAGAATAAGAAAGTGCACTGCACCAAGCTCAGTGTTGTTAGATCAGTTACACAAAGGTTTTGATAGAGTCTGTTATGGATGTGGCCTTACAGTGTTTTGTGCTTATTTTTAGGATTCTCCTTTTACAAATGCAGGATTGGGGTCTAACCTAAACCTTCTGGGTGAGATAGAATGTGATGCCAGTATAATGGATGGAAAGTCATTAAATTTTGGAGCAGTTGGAGCACTGAGTGGTATGTTAACTACATATTACAAACCTAACTAGGGATTTAATTGCAAAGATAAATTTTGTTCTTTCTGTTATTTTTTTTGGAGGGGGGAACACATTGTAAATGCTGCCCCATTTAAATAAATTCTGCCACCTTTAAAAAAGGGGGAGGCATTCCTGCTCCCTGAAAAACTGTTTGGTGTTAATTTGCTTTGTGTAACATACTGTCTTATTAGTTCACTGATAATCCTTTGATGCAGAACGGTTGTATGATACTATACAGTGTTCACAATGGGAGTGAGTTTGCTCAGATGAATTTGTAGAATGAGAACTTTATAATAAAATGCAGTTACTAAAAGAAAGACTACAAGCATTTAAATTAGGCTTTATATTTGGCTTTGTTCTCTGTCTCCTCGAAGAACTTACTGGTATATAATTCAGTCATAAGGTCAATTGATATTTTGGTCTCTCAGTTCAGCTGGTCAAATCAGGGACCAAAATAAGGGACCAAATTTTCCTTGATAGTGTCAGAAGGCCATGCAGGGTGCTAGCCCCCAAACTGAAGGCCCTCATGTATTCTTGAGAATGGGTTCATCTGTCAAGCTGTTTGCTTGGGACATAAAATTTCTGTATATTGTAGATGTTTTCATTATAATTTTTCTCGCATGATCAGTTACATTTGGATTTGTGTATTATAAGGTTAGATACATTTGCATATGGGATTTATTTAATCTGAGAACTAATGTGCTTCTCTCTCTTTTTTTTTTTGTCTAGTTTTAACTTCTAGTACAAAACAAATATTCGTATACAGTCCCAAATAGGGATTGTTGAAGTTTTGTCATAAGTACATTGAACAGCCTTAACTGTTACTATTGACTAGCTTTTCTGACAACATTTCAAGCTTTGTTCTTTATCCTAGAATAGTTCTAAACTGTGGTAATAACTTCCTTATGTAGATATAAATCTAAAATAAATGGTAAAATTAAGTGTTTCAAGGCTTGTTTCTTAAAAAATGTAATCTTCCAACCATTGGGAAGGAGGAAATGAGGGAGTGAGAGAAAGCTAAGCCTGAATCCTATAATCCCTGTTCTGACCAGATAGATCCAAATGAAAGCTCCTTCCATCTTGAAAAACTAATGCTCATAAACCATCTTTGACCTGTAGAATACCATAGATTTAATTTGAGATTTCTGTGGTAGGAGGTCACTCCTAATATTTCAATATGTTTCCTTCTTTTTTTAAAAAAAGAACAAAAAAGTGTGTGGGTAGTTGATTAGAAGGCTTTGTCACTACTGACTGATAGGACATGTGAAGGAAGAACTGATAAAGTTGTTGTTAAATTGAAACATAACATAAGGTGTGTCTTAATGACTTGTCAAAGCCTTGGAAATTAAAGGATGCTGACTTCCCTTGCCAAAATGAACACCACAGTGCTATGTGGAAAAATATTTTAATGTTTTGTTCCCATCTTTTGCTATTTTTTTTTCAGGAATCAAGAATCCAGTTTCAGTTGCAAATAGATTGTTGTGTGAAGGACAGAAGGGAAAGCTCTCTGCTGGCAGAATTCCACCTTGGTAATTGCTTTGTTCTGCTTGACTTTACTTTGGTCTTTCGTCTCTACTGCATGCAAATTTAATGGTTATATCTTATCCCAAGAAGGCTGGTACTGATTTACATACCAGTGATAGTGTGCCTTTAGAAAGAAGATAAGCTTTGTTCTGTGATCTTGAAGCATCTTGTGCACTTGATGAAGCTGTGGGTAGAATGAAGTACTGTGAATAGGTGGCAACATAGTTTTGTGATAATTTCTATCTGTGTGATTATTTCCAGATACATCATACTGAATTCTTATGTTTGTTATTGTAGCATTTTGGAAAATCCCTAAAACCATCAAGATTAAAATGCAATTCTACTGCCTTTGCCTCAGTCTACCTTTAAAAAAAGCAACGTATTTTCTAACAAGTATATAAAAAATTCCTAATTTACTACCTGTCTTTGTGGCTTTATTTTGTAGTTACAGTGTGGAAATGTACAGTGTTCAGTAACTTCCTCTTATCTTAGCCAAAATGGGAAGTTATTTTAAAGCTATATTTAACAGTATTTACAACAACAATGAAACATGCACTCCTTTGTTGATATGGATGTAATACTTCGATGGAAGAGGTAACTATTAAATGCGTAACAACTTTAAATATTATTATATAATTTTGGAAAGAACACATGAAATGTGTCAGAAATGATTGCTCTTAAAACCATTTGATTTTCATTAACAGATTAAATCGACAAGTAGAGAACTTGAATAATTCATTCATATTAATTGACTGCTATCCTCAGTAATCATACCTGTTGCAGAAATTTGATAACTAATGGACTACAGTATTTACAGATGTATTAAACTAGCAATTATGTAGTTTACAATATGTATATTTAGATTCACAAATTTTACTTTCCTTATAATGTTATTCTGTAAAATTAGCCAAATTGTCTGTAGCTGGATGTTAGAGTATTCCAATCTAAACAGTGAGGAAAAGCAGTATTTCAGTGTTCTGTCATGCTGCAAAGGAAATTCATAGATCAAAAAAAGCCACCCTGAAACCAGAGCATCAACAAGCAGATTTTGCATTTAAAACTTTTCTTTAATGAAGAAATAAAAGAGCAAGTGTAGTTAGTGAGATTTTTTTTTTCCAGAGAAGTTTACTGAAGAATAGGAACTTGAATTTCAATTGCTGTTAGTAGCTCATTTCTTTAGATGTCAGAGGAAAGCAGGGTTTAGCTGAGTTACATTAACTAGAGTGTCAATTGAGTCAGAGAGTCAATTTTTTGGTGTTTCAGATCTAGTACTGAGGTCAGCTACAGGTGTAAGTGCTTGTGATTTAGTTTTGCCTGTATCATCGCAATGTTTTCTCAAATTGTTGTAAGGAAGAGCACGTGGGGATGACCTAGTTTATGCTGCTATTATTTTTAAAATAACTGAATGGAAAAGAAACAATATCCCCTTGCCCTTAAATGACAAGGCTAAATCTTTTAAACCCTGTGCAAGGTCTTGGCTAACAGATTCTTTAAAGACAAGGGAGCTCAAATTCTCGAGGTGAGAGGTGAACTGTCTTCGGAGCCAAAACATAGTTTATTGTGCAAATGTTGTGGACCCAAGTTACCTAATACATATTTTCATTTCCTTTTTCCCATTCTGGATTTTGAACTTACATTTTATTAGAGAAAATTAGTTATCCTGGGAACAATGTATACTAGTGGGATACCATGGGTTGTGCTTTAGATGCAACTTTTTGCCTTGGTAGATGCTTCTATACATACAGGGTACCCCAAGCTCAGAAGGATAGAGTTCATGTTCATTGTATGTGATGACTATTGACAGTTTCATGCCTTGCCTTTCTGACAGGGTTTGGCATGACACATTGTTGTTTTGGGACTGAAATACATTCCTGCAGAAGCTGGGAATATATACAGTCAAATGACAAGAGAGCAGTTGTATTTTGGCATTCCTGCCAAGTGACCGGATTTTAGTAACTGATTTTTATTTGTAAAGATATGAAAGTTTCACCTTGTTTCTCATGAGCAAATAGAGTATTGGGGAATCTTCCAGATACTGCTTAGCCTAAGAATCTGTCTTGTTAAAGAAACCTAGTGGTAGAGACTGTTTCTGTGTCATCATCTGAACTAGCTTAGTGTTTTCTGGCCAGAATGTTTGGCACATGAGCACACAAGAAAAATCCAGGAAATGTGAGATTAGTGAAAGTGGCATTATGGAGATTCTTGTCCGTAAAAACATGTGGAGGCAGTTAGTTTGGTCTGTTTACCCCTGTTCAGCACCCATTTTTATAGTGAGGTTCAAACCAATTCAAAGTGCTACATATCTAATTTTCAGTAGAAGAAATTTTAATGGGTGTGAGTTAATTTATTCTGAGATGGTAAGTTTCTTGGGAAGGAATGATCAAGTGTCCTAACTGATGTATTCAATTTGCTGTAAATTGCTCTATAGTGTGTGTCATTTTGGATCAACATCTTGTTGTCTTGTTTAAAACACAGGATCCCACTATCCAAATTAAAATTTAAAAAGTTTGAAGTAGAGAAACCCTGAATGCATAAGTACATTTGTTGAAACTTATAAGGTTCTTACATCTTTCTATCATATTTTATTCAGCTTGATGTTGTCAGGATTTTCTCTGCCTATGTATGCAGGAACAGAAAATACTGAACTTGTAAATGTTACATATTATCATAGAAGATATTCCTGTTCATTGTATAGCTTTACAAAAGAGGGCACTATTATAATTACACAGTTACATATTGGATGGATCTTTGGAAGTGGTCTTACAGCCATGGATGAATGCACCATCTAATAATGGATGAGATGTTTCGTAGTAATAAGTTTGAAGTTTTTCTATTTCTTACCCTGAAACCTTGACCTTGGTAAGGGAAAAGGCTTATTTACGTCTGTTTACTATTAAGTGTAGATACTTAAGAATTGCTGTATGGTACTAATATACTTAAATGTCTCCTTTCTTAGAACTTTTTAGTACTCCTGATTTTTAAGCTTATGTCTGTATCCCTTTTTCAGTATTAATAGTAACTCGTATGGGAAATATTCTCTTCTTAAAGTTAGGGGTTTTTACTTCTCTCTGGTTACACAGGGATTTGTAATTCCTTCCCAGTTTTACAGTACTGTAGGAAGGATATGTACATTGTGTAACTTGTAGGCAGTGTGTGCCTGGAGTGAAGACTTGCACCACCTTTTTATCTCTGTTCTATATTTCTTCAGAACAATTTCTTCTTTGTAACAGCCATTTCAGAATGATTGCTGCATTTTACAATAAATGTTACAAAGTGAGTTTGTTACATTCAGCCTTCAATGAACCTAACCTCCTTCTGCCACTTTGGTTTAGCTTGGTGTGGCCAAGTTCCCTATAGCCCATATTACATGGTCCTGTTTGGAGCAAATAGCACCAGGATAACCATGTTCTTGGAGAAAATTGCCTAAAAAGACCATTTTTAGAGACCTTTACTTGCATTTTCTGTTAATATGGTCTAGTTTGCCTGGAACTGGAAAGCGTGTCCAAGCATTGGCTCCTTGCTGGGAGGATGTTTTCATCTTCTGTGTGTTCTGAGCCTTTAACAACTACAGAGTACTCTTCGTTTGATATATTTGCAAGAAAGATCTTTTTATCTTGTTTGTGCAGAACCAGCTTTCAGACTAGCAGAGCACAAACCCATTCATCCTTTGTTTTTGGTTGTTGTTTTGTCTTTTTTTTTTTTTTTTTTTTCCCTCCCCTTTGGAAAACTGTACTTTGAGTTAGCCTAAAGGATTTTGAAACTTGGTGGGGTTTTGGCTGCTTTCTATAGCCCACTGGCTTTATTCCCCATTTTCTCTGTCGTTCAATAAATCAAGCTTGTTGGTAGTAAAGGTAGTTTAAAGGTAGTTTTGTTTTTATGTCAGCTTAAAGTATTGCCCTGCTCATTCTTGCCCGCTGCAGCTTTTCTACATGGCTACATGGATGATTCTCATGGCAACTGAAGCAGTTCCCTAGTGCCAGACTGCTGGTTCCCCCACTCTTGCCACCCTATCATCTGTGGCTGGTACAATTGTGTGTGTGGCTGTGTGCTGAACCGTATCACAGAACTTGCTCTATGGGATGGTGTAAAGACTGTTTAGTCTTGTTTAGATTATATGTAATTAGCTACCTGCAGAACTGAGTTCATGCTGTATGTCCTGTAGGAGTCTCTTACCAACTAATTCTATATCAATTTATAGGAGATGCAGTATGAGCTAGTACAGACAACAAAGCACTTAGATCCTGATATTTTTTTTTTTTTACAAAAATTCTTTTTTGGTAAACTGTTTAACTTTTCTGTGACTATGCTGCCCTTTCAAGACATCTGAACTGAAAAGTTTAAAGAAGGTGGATGATCTCTGTGGTGTTATGGGGCCTCAGACAGACGTCTGCTTCAACTAATCTAACTATTGTTTGGGATCAGAACTGGAAAATACTTTGTGCCCATCTTATAGGAGGAAAGAGGAATCTAGGAATTCAGAACCTAAGTATGATCGAAGTAGAAGTCACTTCACTTAAGTTTTGAGACATTCGAGAGTGCTTTTTTTGTGCTCTTCATAAATACTAGCGACTGTTTCTGTGTCTTTAAGTATTAGAAAGGCAATTATGAGATTGCTCGTAAAATGCAGTGTTTCTGACTGATCTGCACTATTATTCAAGTTACCATGTGTAAAACTCTGGATATGTGAGCTCAATACTTTCTCCACCTACCCTTCCTCTCTGGGTAAATTGTTTTATTGAACAGAAAGTCCTTATTCACTTCTTGAGAATGTATTGTTAATGTAAAATTTCTATTTTAAAGACCAAAACCTTCTTCTTCTGGTCAATGGAGATTACTATTTAATTAGGTTTGGCTATGTTTTACATTCCTCTCTTATGTTAATGAAAGTGGCAGGTTGTTTATTGAGCACTAAATGACTTAATAGGGTATGCTTGAGTTCTTCCAAAGTACCCAGTAACTTATTCTGCAGTATCTTGCACATGAACAATGTTTTTGTGGAGGAGCACTAACGATGGTAAGAAATATATATTTAACAGTTCAAATTCTCATCTAGATAAACTTCTTTTTTTTTTTTTTTTTTTTTTGAGACTTTTTTTAAGGAAAGACTGGACACACCTCTTGTATTGGTTAAGTCATAGAGAAGATAGAGAGTACCACCTCAAAATACTACACACATCTGCAGGTGTCAGATATAGCACTGTCAAGAAAACTTCCCACAGTATTAATGCCAACAAACTTGCTATATCAATAATGTTCTCAAAATTGTGGTTGTAGGTAGCCTCAGGGACCCCTTTGTAGCTGGAATCACTTCTTTAGCCTCATATTCATAAATCTGGTATTTCTGTAACACTTTTTCAAATTGTAAATCCTCAGTCTTCACTTCTTGTGTCCATTAGACAGTTGTGTTATTCTTATTTCATAAGGGGGATATGAAGGTAAGATTGGAAATAGCTATCCTTTATTGTGTTGCTGTTGTTGGTACTGTTGCACAGCAGCTTTCTGAAAATGTGTGATTTCAAACTACTACATTCCCCTTTACAGGAAATTGGATTAATTTCTTTAAGGGGAAACAGTATAGATAATTGAGGCTTGGTTTTTTTCTCTTCCTAAAAGTTACATGTCTGTGTATATTTTTTACTATCATTCATTGTCATGGCAGTGTGTACTGTCTCACTACTGTAAAATGTTCAGAACTGACAAGAAAGCAATGTAGATTGTTGGGGTGTTTTTGCAAATTTATTAAAAATTAAGTAGACTTGTCTCATTTGCAAAAGCTTGATAAAACTCCATGAGATAGACCTTCATCCTTCTAAATAAGGCTTATTTTTAGTTTGTGTTGTACTTTTTAAAATACTCCTTGATACTCCCGTGGCATTGGCTGACTTCACTGGAAGTGCCTAACCATTCTCACCTCATTCATCCCATGTTGTTGGTCTTCAAGATCTTACTAAGTTGTTACAGAGAGCAAGACTCTAGATGGCTTTGTCCTGTTTTAGCTGCAATTAGAAGCTGGTGCTATTTGGTAATTAATTTCAAATTTAATAGCACGTGTTTTTATCCAATACTAAACTTCATGTCAGAGCTGCATAGTCTTCTAATTAAACTACTTAAGGTTGCCAAATGTTATTATAGCTGACATTTCTGTGAAATGCAGACAGCTTACAATTTTAAAGTGACCAAACCAAATAGAAAAAATAATTGCAAGAAAAGGGGGATTTGTTATATGGTTTTGTTTAAACTCCCTCTTCTGTGTCTCCTAGCTTTTTAGTTGGTGAAGGAGCTTACAGATGGGCAGTTGATCACGGGATACCAGCATGTCCTCCAGGTATCATGGCTACAAGTGAGTAAACTGGTGGTGTCAGTAGGAAGAACAGGGCAGAGTTATTTTAAATGGTGCCTCATATTTTGAGGTGTACATCACTGTTCTTAACATTCAACTAGCTTATGGTATTGCTGTATATAAGGATGGTTTAAGTTTACTAATTTTCTATTAAGTATCTAAATAGAAAAAAATTATAAGCTGCATTTTAGCAACATCTAATCCAAGTGAATTTGTGATTCTAGGATTAAATCCAATGAAGGTCTTTTTTTACCGAAACATAGGCTCTCTAAAGCTCAGTCTGGCAAATCTCCGATTCTGGTCCCTCCTGGATTCTAAAAGCACCAACTAGCCATGTATCTAAATTCAGCAGGTGCTAGTTAGACTCTCAGATTTTACAGTTACACCCGTCTTTGAGTCTTTGTCCAGAACTGTTCTGGTCTAAACAGGCTGTCATATTCATTTGCCTTTTTATTTTTTTTTAACCTAGGTAGGCTTTGCTTCATCTAATATAGTGGAATAACCTGACATAGAAAACGGACTTGGATTATACTGTACACTAGCAATAGTCAGGTCTCTTACAAAAACTTTTTTTCCTAAAATAAAAGAAGCGATTATGTTGTATCAATACACCATCTATAAACTCAGCTAAATATTAGTGCACTTACCCATGGCAGGGAGGATGTGGTGCCCCTTCCTTCTCTTATTTAGTCCCCCTCCCTTTTGGAAAGTGTTATTACTACTAGTCTGTAGTTTGCTGTAGGCAAGAGCATGCCCTACACTTCCTGTAGAAGTTATGCAAGAAAGAAATCAGAGATGGTTACCCAAAGAAGGAGAGCACAGAAGATTACAGAATGTTTGTTTATTTCACAGTAAATAGTATTACTTCATGAAATATATGAGTAGTCCTTGAACTAGAGATTGAAACCCAGGGCTTCCATTAAGGTCTAGTTCTAAATGTAGATAAACAGCCAGAAATTGCAGTTCAAAGCTGCTAATACTCAATGCTTAAATGTAACCTCTGAAACAGTGTCAGCATTTTACTTAATCATGCCAACTTTCATACATACTCATGATACATTTCATTTTGAACAGAAAGTTTTGCTTTCTAGTTCCACGTGACTGAAACTTTTGCCCTATCCATCTGCTGTCCAAAACAGCATTTGAAGAACAACTTTTGGGCTCAGTTAAGCATAACACCTTTATTTCTGTGACTCTAGAAAGAGTAAAAACGCCTAAAGGTTTGGGGTTTTTTTTTGTGGTTTTTGTTTGTCTACTTGTTTTTTAGGAAAGTAGTTGCTACTTACATGTGGGAGATGATCCAGAAGGAAGGTTTCTTGAATAATTGTTTGCACGCACAGAAGTTTCCATTGTTTCTAGTACCAGTGTGTTTCTGTTGTAACAGAGATGACTAGATTGTAACATTAATTGCCAGAAGATATCCCTCGCTAAAAGGTTCCCTGGTCAGAGCAAATCTACATGTTGTGGCTTAAAAATAAAGATGACCACTGTTAGTTTGGTTTACCTAACCCAGACTATGAATTTACATAGGAGAAACATCAGAAAAATAATCCCAGCCAATATATTGTCACAAACCTGCTCCAAAACACCAGTGATTTCTTTTTGTCTCCTCAGTACACTCAGCATACTTCTATTTAGCAAAACAATCACCGGGACTGTGAAGTTAATCCTATTGCAAAGTCAATGCAGAAATGCCATTTGCTGTTGCAGTGTGAGTGAAAATAATACTGGTATTAAAGTTGCCAACCTCCATCTGCTCCCCACACCCTCCGCTTTTGCCCAGGTTTATATATACTGAAACACACACCTGTAAGATCACATGCTTGAGCCATTGCACAGGATGGACCTACTCCAGGAATGAAGTGATGCTGGTGAAGCAGGCTGCGACTGTTGAGACTTGAGTGTAGACTATGTGAATGTTTTTCTGGAAGAATGATTTCAGATTAGGGTAGTTGAAGGATATGCTGAAAAAAACAGTGACAAGAGACTGAGATACAATCAGATATTCCCTGTAATACTGAGCAAATTACTTAAAACAGAATTCTTCATGGACATTCTCTGTTACTTGACCTTAGCATAAATGATAGTCTATGTCGAACTGGGTTTACAGAAAGGAGGTGTTTGACTATTATAACCTTGTGCTTCAGTTTCCTGCTCAAAAAAAAAGGTAGGATAATAGTGTCTTCTATTTAAGTGCCTAAAATGGATACATGGGAAAGCAATACTAGCTTACATAAAGACTGCATTATTAGCCATTTTAAGAGGTATCTGGGAAAAGATTGCCTGAGCAACTTAAGTTGTCATTTTCCCTAGCATTTTTAGTACTTAATTTTGCAGAAAAAAATATTAATGGCAGTATATCTGATTTTTATTTAAAACACATCAGAACCACAACAGCAACAAAGACCAAACAAAAACCTGAAAAATGCATAATAGGAAATTGTTATGTTGATTTCCATACCAGTCCTTAGCAAAGATAGGCTTTTAATGCATAGACTCCTCATCAGTGGGGCTGGAAGGTAATCATTAACATTGTGTGTGACAACACAGGATTGTTATAGCTGAAGAGAAGTTGAAACTGTCTCACAGGTGACATGAAGAAAGCCAAAATTGTTTTTTCCACTGTTACTAGGGGAGGGAAAGTTAGAGGTGCTTCAGAAATTACAATTAAAGAGAATGTTGTTTCCAAGCAACGGCAAAGGATCTCATCTGAAGCAAGCTATTTCACTAAATAATGTAACTAAATTCAAAAAACAGGAGAGTTTTTCATAATGCTTGCTACAATTGCTGTGGTATTGCTTGCATGGAGAATTGGGGGTAAATTAACTTGAAATTACATCACTGTTGAATAGCTCTGTAAAATGAAGAATGAAGTAATTGCCAAACATCGGGAAAATATGTTTAGTAACTTAATTACAAAAAACAAGCCCAACCCCTCCAAAACCACCTAACGCAAACCTTAGACATGCACTTGTAATAAATATTAGCAGGGAGAACTAGGTGCATATGTTTTAGCTTCTCTGTGCTGCACATGGAAAATATGTTCTTGAAGTCACATTATTCTGTCTCATTTTTCCCGGGCCTGAAATGACAAGAGTAATGTTATACATGCTATAAGGCTGTGGGATTCTGTGGTTGGTTTTGCATGGATGGAGCTCTCAGTCTGATCAGTTACAAAGAAAGCTGCACGGTCAGCTTTGTGGTTGCACTCCATAATTCTCTCTAAACTATCCAAGTATCTGAGCACCAAACTGAAACGATGTTTTAAACCATGTTACTCGTTGAACTACATCAAGGTTATGTCAAGGCTCACCTGCTTTGTCTTCTACGGTTTGCCAAGTGTATGAGGAAATGGGGTTTCTACTGTTTGTAGGAATCCGGTGGCTTTCCAGTGTAGTGAGTGGGTGTTTTTTAAAAAAAAACCCTCTGAAATGTGATCTGTCTGTATTGCCTACAGTCTGCAAGAAAGCTGAATTTATTAACTCCTGCCCATACTAGAGCTTAATTCCTGCCAATACTAGAGCCCTTCCTAGCCTATGGTAGAGCTTTGTTGCCCTGTGCTAGGCAGACTGCTTTGAAAGTGTGATCAAAGTGTTAAGAGTGTAATTACAGTTTAGAAATACTAATTTACTGTGTCATGCAAGCTCTTGTCAGTGTTAAGAGTATACTTTAATTAGGCAATGTACATTTGAGGTACAGCTTCAGCTGTCAATATCTGTGCCTGCATTAGTAATAACCAAACCACTTTTATCTGAATTTTTCAGTTCCACCTATAGTAGATGCAAAGTAGTTGATTTGACAAGGATACTGTTGCGTAAGACAGCATCTTACAATTGCTTACAATGTTAAGTCTTCAAAGAGAAGGAGAAGGAAGGTAAATACTCATGCAGCAAGCTTGTACCTCTAACTCTAACAATGTGGAACTGACCAGAAGTACCTCAGTAAGTCATATTACATAAGAACAAAAGCAGCTGCAGTGTATTCACAGAGCTTGATAACTAGGATCCAAGAGTAGCCACAAATGGTGCTTAAAGAAGAATATAACAACAGAGCAAATATATGCTTCCCTTTTCCCTACCCCATTTGCTATCCCAGACTCTACATTCCTGAGTCATGACTGGTTCCTGCATACATGGAGGTAATAAGTGGCATTTTCTGCCATGAAATTGTTGTTTCCTCTTGAGCCCATATTTCTAGCATCTGCAAAAACCTTTTCCACTTAACTATGGGTTGTGTGAAGGACTATCTCTTTTTCATTATTTTGAGACTTGCTGAATAAAATCTGCTGTTTTATTGTCAGATCACTGCTCAGAATCCTTCTTCACTCAAGTTCTCTTATTACCTTGAATAACTTAGTGTCATTAAAATCACATCATGTTGTTGAACAGAGTAGGTTCTAGTATAGATTGATTTGACGTTGCGCTTGTAGCAAGATATTTACTTCTACTTTGTTTTCTATTTTTTAACCAGTTTTGTGTATGTAAAGATACTGCCTTCTATCTTATGGCTGCTTGACTGCTTTAAAGAGCAAGAGCCTTTTCTGGATAAGTGTCATTCAGATTGTCAAACTTCTAGTGACACCGTATGTCTCCCTCTCCACCAGTATTGCCTACGTAGCCCGACTCTCCTCTAAACCTCCAAACCTCATGGCACCCCCAGGTCTCTCCTCCACTATTATTGCATTATGCAAAACATTTGCCATATTGATGGAACTGTGCTATGAGGTTCAGTCAGTAGCTCAGGGCAGTGGCTTAGACCGTATTTTGTTTCTTTGTTTTTAGAGTGAGAACAAAAGAGATCTGAAGAGAAACTCAAGGGTCTTGGGGACTTGATTAGGAAGTTTGTTTAATCTGAATACATGTCTGATTTTAGGAAGCTGAGGTATCTATCAAATAGAAGATGCTTGTCTTTTAACGGTGAAAGTTGCTACCTCTGTTCCATAATATACAAAGTAAATGAGCTCTGGTACGTGCACGTGTTTTGCTGGCAATAAAAAAAAA